TCAGAGGTGGGAGTCCTCTCGGGGTTCCGAAGAACTCAAACTCGGGGATGTCTGTTGAGTCAGAGTTGGCGCTGGCGACGGGAACTGTGGTGCGGCCACGGCTCGTCACCTTGGGAGGGGGTCCGGAGGGTGGGGGGGGTGCATCGGACGGAGTCGCAGTGGCACCTTGATCAGACATGGTGGCTTCCGGGCAGATGATCCCTCTCAGGACTGGAAGAGGAGAAAGGAAAACATTTTCCTTGTTGTTTCTCACTTGTATTTGTTATATAGAAAAACGTATATATATTTTGTGAAGTCAAACACAACCCTTTGCCTTTGTCATGTCTGAAATATACTTGTGCAATAGTTTGTGTCTTTGTATTTCTGTGTGCAGTTTTTCAAAGAACTCCCATCATTCTCCATTTGTTTCTTGAGGAGCTGTTTTCGTGCTCATCTGCTTCACATCTGTGGAACAAGTGGAAACGTGTGTGTGTGTGTGTGTGTGACTGAGTCCTCATCACTCGTATTAATGACAGAAAGGGATTTAAAATGGAGGAGCCATTAAAGTAAAGCAAATCAAAATATTACAAAATATAATTTCCCATATGCTTTGAGAAGTACAAAGAGCAGGTTCAGAGACGTTTATGTCACATGTGTGTTTGTGGGTGGGGCTGCACATGAGTTTTACAGTCTTGGCTTTTATGTGATTATTTATTTGTGGTGTTTCATTGCTACCTTTATTTAACTTCTGCTACCTGTTGGGTTTTACATTCAACTAAGTACAAGTTTGAGCTGAACAATAATAAGGTGAAAATGTCACAAACTGTTTTTTTTAACAGTGTAGCATTGAGCCTGTTGTCCTGAATACACCGTACACTGCTTTGCTTTTTTTATTTACCCAACGTTACTTTAGAAACCTTTGCATTTAAATAAACTAACAAACGTTCTATGGTTCACAAAGTGCTGTCCTCTGTCTGTTGGTCTGTCGCTGTGCTGACCTGCAGAGAAAACACACGTCAGCACATCTCTGCTGGTGTTGAAGGTGAAAACAGAGAGTTCGCTGTGTTAAATGACTCATGCAGCCAAACGTCAGCCCAAACTTCTCTCCTCGTCCAGCACACGCCCACATTATGCAACACGCCAACATGTCCGCCCCTCGGGCAGGTGTTTATTGCACCTTATGAAAACAGATGTTTGTGTGTTTCTGGTTAAATCAGTCTGACCACATACTTACATAATCATTACAGCAGGAACTTCTGACGGCCTGTTTCAGACGGACCCCGTGTGGGCTGAAGAGGGTTGGTGTAATTATAGCTCAGTGAGTCACAGTGAGAACACTGAGGGTCTTTGTTTGTGTTGATCTGATCACACCCAGAACTCTGACTCTCACAGTTTGTTTTGTTACCACAGTGGCCATGCTGTTGTTATTCAGTCATGTTTATTGTTCTCACCTTTATAGACTCTGTTGACAACTTTGGTTTAGCATGAATATAAATAAATCGTTATTTTTCCGCTTGCGCAACTCCCACTGGAACTCTGCTATTTGCACCTCCCACACTATTGTGTTGGATTAACATGGCTATAACTAATTGTTATTTTTATTCTCTGCTAATCTATTCTACTCAACACCCTCAAATATGAAGGGGATATTTTCAAACTTCTTGTTTGAACCAACGATCCAAAATCCATATATACTCAGTTTGCTATAAAACGGGCAAAGTTGAAAAAAGGACGTTGAAATTGTTGCTTTTAAATTTTTATCTGTAACCGTTTCGGCTTAAAATTTTGCAACTACTGGTACTTTTTGTAAGAAGTAAAAATATTATACACAACAGAGCATTTAATATTCTACAGTGTGGATTATTATTACTGATTAATTAGCAGCATTTTCATGTTGTGAACCCCGAGTTAACTTGTACCTGAGAAGCACACGAGTACAGAGTTTCCACGGAGATTTAGAAAAGTATAATTATCTGTTCAGGTAACATAAAATAGAAGTACTTAAGTACAAGTACAGCAAAATAAAGTACTCTTGTACTTGTACTGTCAGACACATATGACATATATGCACACACGTGTTTTCTAACACGACTCTGGCAAATGCTGACACAGAAGGAACAGGTTTATGATCAGAACGGAGACTTTCAGTGCAGTAAAACAAATAGATACACATAGAATCTACTTTTTACAGATAAGAAAACTTCATCGATGCAGCATCTGCGGACAAATAGACCGAGACCCAACATGTCTTTCATAAAAAGATTATGAGTTTGTACATTTGTAAATATACAAATAATAAACCCTACACTGTTACTTTAAACTCTCCTGACTCGCTCCTTATGATCACTGGGTTATTAGTTTGAGTAGAATGATGAAAATATGAAACAGCAATAACCACATTTTAGATGAAAGGAAAAGTTTTGTTAGAGTTACTTTGAATCTGTTTGTTTCAAACGTTGCACAAGAGCTGCAAAACATTTTAAATGACTCTCAAGATGCATCAGCTAATTAACTTTCATCATCACATCTGGAAGATATAAAGAAAATCAAGTTACTGAGCTGCTGAGGAATTCTGCTGCAATAAAAACTGATGCATCAAAGCAGAAGTTTGACTTACGTAAGAAATGTTTGCGTCTTTTTCAACGCAGCGTTGGACGCGTCTCAGAGGAAGCTGGAGAGAGAAGCTGCTGGTTGGAGTCAGTCTGCTGCTGCTTCTCCGTCCGGGAGTCCTCTGCTTCTGCTTATATACCCTGCAGGGGCAAGTGTGTGTGTGTGTGTGTG